CGTGCAGCTGGACTGACGTAGCTTGCGCAGCGTGGACTGCTCGATTTCGGTTTCTCAGAGACCTCCCCCAAGTGGACTTGATAAGGTCAGGGCATCCGCTCTCGGTGAAGACCGCACTGATGAAAGGCGTAGTGGATTCTAGGATCCTTGTCCAGTCATCGGGATCCCAATCCTGCTGCCATAGTGTAAAGGCGATGCTCCCACAGGTAGGGTCACTCAAGCGGTGAGCCCCCTCAACGCACTCACCAAACTGGATGAGTAGTCCAGCGAGGATGATGGGATCAGCACCCGGGATCTCACAAGGCAGGGTAACCCTCTGATGCTTGAGAGATGTGTCCACCTGCTTCTGTGTCACCACGATGATGCCAAGTTCGTCCTTGGAAAGAATGGAGTTCTCCCTGATCCACGGCATGGCCTGTTCCAAGTGGGCCAGAAACACTCCAGATGATTGGGGAACAAAGGTCGTCAGCTGAACAGCATTGGAGTCATCCTCATTGAGAAGAAAGCCCTGCATGATCGTGACCGTGGAGAGATTGATCTCAGGCGGCTTCCGTTTGGAGAGCTGAATCTCTCGTGCCGAGCTCTGGCTATCAAGAGCACCCGAGCGTTTGCGAGGAAGTTCCAGCCCGATCTGTTTCATGGCCTGCAAGACCGCTGTCGCACGGGTCTCCTTTTTCCCATTCATCAAGGCAGCAATGGCCGCATGACCCAGCTGCTTGAAAAGGCTGTCCACAGCTTTGGAAATCCAGTTGAGCTCATACTGTAAAATCCAAGAGAGTGCCTGCAACTTCATTCTTCTTCAGTGCAATGATCTGTGGATTCTTGCCACCTCCTCCTCCCTGTACCCGTGTGATGATGTGGAGAACAAAGGCACCGGCCTTATGATTCCAGGTGTTGAGGACATTCAAAGGATGTTCTGGCAACAGTCGGGAGGCTGATGCACTATGAATCAGACGCACAGCCTTTGAATCAAGGTGATCAGCTGCCCGGCCTGAAGATCATCAGCAAGGTGTCCTTCCCAAAGCTGTCTTTTGCACCATCTAATGGAGACAAAGATGCCAGCTGTAACCCTCACACAATCCAAGGTGCTCCTGAATGCACGAACGGCCCACCAGAGCAGGAACTGTCGAGGAGGAATAGCCATTGACTTGCCAATGGAAGTTGTCACCTGAAAATCCATCTCAGTAAGCTCACAATCAACATCCAAGGCGAAGCTTGCACGGCCTTCAGCTGTGAGTGCACTTTCCCAGATGGTAGCCCAAAGCTGGCATTCAGCAATGTTTCCATGCCCCCTGATGGAGTGGACGTCCTTCTTGTGGTTCCAATGACCGAAGCACTGCACCCCACGAACCGATGCCCAAATCTCCTCGGCAGCAATATGCAACGGAGTGTGACCCCAATCAAACTTGGTCAACATCATCTCTGGCAAGATGGGAGCACGGAGAGGGACCAACCCTCTTGGGCCAAAGATCCATGACCAGTGTGTCGCATGTCAAAAGTATCATGCTGCAGGATGGCAGTGCACAGACCTGAAGCACTCTGTCCACTCGCCTCCGGAATGTCAGGCAGTGGGAAAAAGAAATCTTTATCCTCCAACTCCCAAGAATCAGTTTCATGACGTAGGCAACCCTTCCATAGTGCCAAAATGGCATTCACAGGTGTGTTGGCCTCCACAGCAAAGAGTTTGCTGCCAGTAGTGAAGACCACACGACATCTCAACATGACACGCATAGGTAGGGTAGCCGACAGAGGCTCATCTGACACTGGTGGCGCCCTAGGCTGTGCAACAGGCCGAAGACAATGGATTTCCAGGATTCTTCCTCTGGAACTCATGTATTCCTATAGCTTGGTTATGCCAAATTCAGGGATCCAACACTGCCCCTTGGGAAGACAATCCATACCCTCCTCAAAGAGCTGGTCCACCACTTCTGACTTCATAGTGAATGTGGTGTGCAACTGCATCCACATGGTGCCAGCTGAAGAAGTCTGTGACCGCATGGCTGATGCCAACATACGATGCTCATCAAAGTAGCGCCAGACCTCAGGCCATTCCAATTGAGGATCTCTACCCGCAAGCATGTTGACAGCTTGGGTGAGCAGCCATAAGGCGCGGGGAATGGCAATCTGATTGCCAAGGCCTTTCCACTCAGATTCAAGGAGGTCCAAAAGCCACTCCAAGCACCATGAATCAGAGCAATCTCAGCCGGGTGCCAAAAGCGTGATCCCAAATCCTCCGCTTCTTTCAGCCAGTGAGCGAAGTATCCCTTTCTCTCAAGCAGCTCAACGTGTAGCCGGTGCTGACTGCCATACTGAGCCATGAACGTGGGCAAACTTTTGTCATGAGGCTGAAATTCATGCGAATGGGCAGCTTCATCTGCTGAGCATCGACGAGCCTGCTTATTGCCTCTATCCAGGGGAATCTGCTGGGCATGATGCAAAGCTTCCTCTGGAACCGCCAATCTTTGCAGAATGGGAGGTGGCCAACTGAGAATGCAATCCAACTCCTCCAAAGTGACAGTTCGCTCAATGTTCCAAGAGGACAAGGGAGGAAATTTCACATCAAACTCATGGATGAAGTAGGCAATGCCCAACCATCTGGCTCGCCTGACTGGCATCACATCCCCCAGCTCGATGACATGAGAGAAGCGTAGCTGGTATCCAGCGAACCATAGCGCCTTCTGAATCCATTGTCGGTGTGGATGGGCATGAAAGGCAGCAACCTGCTCAATCAGGATCAGCTTGGGCCTCAGCAGTTTGCAGAGAGCGATACTTCTAAACAGCAGCTGGCCATCCAAAGAATGCAATCCGCGTTGAGCTGCAGCTCCACTCCATGGTGGACATGGTGCTGATATCGTGACAATCTCAGGGCCCCAAACAGCAGCAGCTTCCCACCAAGAGGAGTCCATGACATCTGCCCAAAGGCACCATCCCTCAGGAAAGGAGTGCAGTGCCAGTGGAGGAAGAGGGTCATCCTCCCCAGTTGTAAGCAAAGGACAACGATGTGAAATGGAGTAAGTACGTGCTGCAGCAAAATCAAGCTCCACCGCTCCTGAAAGAACCTCCACTCCCATTTCAGAAAGGATCTGGCCCGCGAAGGACCAACCTCCCCAGGCTCCTCCAAACAGGTGCAAAGCGTGTATGGGACCTGTCTTCCCTTTCCGCAGTGGTAGGATGCATGTACGCTCATCAACTGAAACATCTGCCCCTTGGTTCCGAGGGGGATACAGCAGCTCCACGTTCCACAGCAAACACTTGTCCATGAATCCTTGCAAGGCCAGGTTATGCATAACAGGCTTGGTGCTCGCAGACCACAGCAGCTGAATCTTGTGGGCCATAGGAGAGTCACCTGCAATCCATACAGAATCCATCTTGAATTCCGCCACTCCCCCCCAAGTGAGTTCCTTCAAAGGTGAAAAGGTCAGAGGGAACCTTCAATTGCAGGTCTTGAACCAGGAGACTCGGCCGGTCTGGCAGGAAGGCGTTGTGGTCTCCCCACAAAGAGAAATCCTGAAGGATACCAGTGAGACCTTTATCAAGGTCAGCATCATCCATGGCGCCAGAAAAAGTGACAGGGCCCAGTTGGCACCCCGAACCAGGGTGGGGCCCCACCACTGCCGAGACGCGCGCGCGCCGGGCGGCCTGGGCCTGAGTGCGCGATGGCCTCCAACCTAGCAGCGATGGCCTCCAACTTAGTAGGGATGGCCTCCAACTAAGAAGCCGTGGCCTCCAACCTAGTAGGGATGGCCTCCAACTTAGAAGCCATGGCCTCCAACCTAGTAGGGATGGCCTCCAACTTAGAAGCCATGGCCTCCAAGGGGGCCTCCAACCTACTAGCGATGGCCTCCAACCTAGTAGGGATGGCCTCCAACTTAGTAGGGATGGCCTCCAACTAAGAAGCCATGGCCTCCAACCTAGTAGGGATGG